CCATGTCAGTCTCCAGCTCTGTGAAGGACATCATGTATTAGAACATGTGAAAATGTCTACCACATTATTGTCATCTCTTGTGGAAGTCATCAACTTTCATAATGTGGAGTATTATTAAGGCTTGTTTTTAATGATCTTTGGGTCACTTATTGGAGTACTTGTATGATGAAAAAATTAATTTTGCAAGTTGTTGCTGGAATAAACTGCAAATGATGGCACTTGGTAGAAAATCAGATAAAAAGATAAACAGTAGTCGATACTAGACTGAGGTTTGGGAATCATTAAATTCTAGTATTTGCTTCGGGTTAGTTGATTTGCTATTTGTTTATGTTGCATATGTAATTATCCATTAATACAAAACATATGATGGACTTACTGCACTCCTGAAGCTTGAGGTGACAGTGGCCAGCCATGGCCTCTATGCACATGTCTGAAATGTAATTCCCCTGTGGACAGAACTGCTGATAGAAGCTGCATGCATGGCTCAAGGCCCAACTTCTCTCTAGCGGATCAGCCTCAGCTTGTGCTGCCAGGATAACCTCACACGTTGGTTCAGATGCTGGAACCATATTCATTTCTATTGGGAGAGGAATAAGATCTCAAACAAACACTTAAAACAATTCTGTGTTTTTATTTATTGATCTTTTTCCATAGTATAATGAAACATCGGAACATTATTTTACACCCCAAAAAAGCACTACAGATAGCTAGTCTGGTATTTTAAAAGTATTGGTTACTAAGAGATAAATATTACTTTCTTACCATCTTAGGCATCATTGAATATTATTAATCATTTTGCATAATATAAAGTAGAGATAATTTCTACTCTCTCTAGTAGCAGATTGTGGTGATGGGAGCCATCTCTAGAGGCTGATGCCAGTCTAAGAAAGCATGGCCCTAACCTGAATGCATTGATGGCCGTCCAGAAAATGAGATGACCATGAGTCAATTTATGCCTGGGGAATGGACTTCAAAAGTGGTGGGATAGGATGAACTGGAAAGAGGTAACTGTTTTAGGATCACTAACTTCGGTACAGACCCAGTAGTGGTCTGATACCAAGATAGCATACCAGGAAGGGGAACAAATGAAATGGAAACCCACAATAAAAGTATCACTGTTAAAATCTTTAAACACATTTGTTTCTGTTACTCGTGGAAGGGGGCATTGCAACTTATTCTCCCTAAGAGGGTCCGGAATCTCTAATCAGGAGGCTAACTCAAGCCCCACAAAAGGCCATCTTGTCTTTTCACAGTTTGAGGTGATGAGAGTGGGGTACCCATTCCTGGCAACCCAGCACAAAATGCAATACAAACATACATACACAATGGGAGGGAGCTTCTGCCTCAGTTGTTTTATATATGAATCTTCAAACCGCTGCACTTTTCCTCCTGGTATTCATTAATACTATAAAGCACTTTGAAACAATCTATTTTCAAGGTTATCAGAAATCTCTGAAAGATCTGCTAAGCATGATGACACCTAGGCCCACTGACACGTATTAGGAAAAAAGGGGTCAGAATATTTAGGCATGGATCCATGATGTTATGGGAATTCTAGGTTTTCAGCTGTGAGTTTCTCAGTAAAATCTTTTGTTTAAATGTCAAGAAAACACACCCCAACATCGTAATAAGAACACTCCCACCCCCATAACAGTTTAAGCTTATTTAAGTTTTTATAGAGGTAGGAGAGCCCCAACACCTTCTTGCTTTATAAGGTTAAACCTTTTGGCAACGTTTACGTTATTATGAAGGTGGAAATGTCTCATTAACCTTAGCATTACTATGTCGTCTTACAAAAGGAGGGGTTAAATGCCATTAGGGCGGCATTGCACTCCTTAACAATCTAGTCCACCCTCCAGTCCAAATACTTACTCTCTATGCTGATTGAGATTGGGGATCTGCCTGAAAACCCACTGCCAATTTGTGTGGACAAGAAGCACCTCTACTGGCTGTCTGAGTGACTACCACTAGAGGTGTTACTAAGCACCAATGTAAATGTTGCCTTTTCTCTGAAATGGCAGGGTTTACAATGAAAAGCCTGCAGGGACAGGTTATAGACACCAGAATCTCAAAAAAGTAAAATTAATTTGTGAGAGTGTGCAAGAATGTGTGAGTGTGTGTGTGTCAGTTTGTGTGTTTGTCTGTCAGCGTATGTATGGCTGTTAGTGTGTTTATGAGTCTGTGTGTGTCTGTCAGTGTGTGTGTGTCAGTTTGTGTGTGTCTGTCTGTATGTGTTTGAACCTGTCAGTGAGTGTGGTGTCTGCCAGCATATGTGTGGTTGTTACTGTGTGTGTGTGTCTGTGTCTGTCAGTTTGTGTGTTTTATGGTGTGTCTATGTCTGTCAGTTTGTGTGTGTGTCTGTCAGTGTGTGTCTGTCACACATGTGGCTGAGATAGACACATGAAGGGGCTGTGGGGTGGAAAAGACACATGGGGAGGTGGGAGAGACACATGGAGGTAGTGGGAGCTGGAGGGTTGGAGAGACACATGGAGGGGCTGGGGGGAAATGAGACACGTGAAGGGGCTAGGGGGAGAATGAGACATGTGGAGGAATTGGGGGGGGGATGAGACATGTGGAGAGACTGGCGGGGGGGAAGGGAATGAGACACATAGAGTGGCATTGGGGGGGTGAGACACATGGGAGGGGCCCTGGACAATTTTCACACTGGGGCCCGGTGGTTTTTAGTTACGCCTATGAATACACATAAATTATATTATTACTGGAGCCTTTAATAAGAACCGACCTCTGCACTGTGTAGTTTTGTTCACACATTCTGGAAAGAGGCAATGGGTACATCCTCTACAATCATGTTGTAGCTGATCCTGTTGTTGTACAGCCTTGTTGAGGACTTGCAAAGCTCTCTTCAGTGCTGCTTCCAAAATTAGTGTCCCTCTGCTAGACAGCGCTGCCAGGAAGGAAGCATTAGATACATAACACACAAATATTTCATTCATCTGCGGTGATCTAAATGCCACCTGTTTTACCAAAACATCATATCACATGTCAAAGTAATTCAATACTTAATACTATCATCCAACTGCAAGGAACCATTAAGAAAATATTCTGTTTAGAATGTAGGTCATGCAGAAAAAAAAATATAACAGGCTGAGATAGCGGTCTTTCCTGGTACAATGGCTTCTAAAGTATAATGCATATATTTAAACTGATTTACATTGGAAGTAAAAACAAATTCCGCCACAAAATGTTAAAATTGTCATAAAGCGTTTGCAATAATCTGGATAAATTGTGTTATGTGGCGCAAGAAGTCAGATCATTTGATCATCACAAACACATGAAATTAAGCTTTAAAATCAGCAGAGCAATCTGGCTGTGCTTAACATTCTTAAAATGTCTATTCATATGTAAGTCTAATATGTGCAGCCTGACACTGCTTATTAATTCCCGTAATGCACATTTTCACTCTCCACAGAATAAATGGTTTTTCTTCTGTCTCTCTATCTTTTCATTTTCCCATTAAGAGGACATTCCTTGTTACCCCCATTGAAAAGACTTTCGTTCCAAAATGTTACTCCAATAGGCCTATCATACCATGCAATAACATCCCCCACTGCCCACGTCTTTTGTCTCAAGTACACCCCACCATCTGGTTTAGACTGTAAACTATGACACACAAGGTTCTCCCACTGTATCAATGTGCTTTCATCTTTACATATTGAATCATGTACATTATCACATACATAGGTTATCATGTAAAATGGAGGCTTTTATGATGTTCACCCTCCACTTGGAAGAGGATAACACTTACCTTGTAGGACACTGGGTGGCATGCGGTGTTGTTCCTTATTGACCGGGGCACATAGAGCCTGTAGAAGGACTAGTGAGAGAAGGAGCAGAGTCAAGCACAGGAATCGCATGTCTGCTTGCTGCAGAGTACCACTTCTCTTCATCACTGCAGGATCTGGATCTGATCTTGTCCTTGCTCTTCCAAAACGCCAAGTTTTGCCTTCTCCCTCTTCAGATGCAGTTTTTTGGCGTTGTTTTCTTAAATCTTTCTGTATTCTCTATTGTTCTTCAAAAAAATCCTCTATCTTAATGTATTTGGGTTTTATTTATAAAATAGTGAATTATGGTCAACTGAAAACAAAATTGCTAAATTTAGGCCAAAACAGCCAAAGCGTAGGTCTAAATTTAACAGTTTGAGTTTCAATTTACCGCAATTCTTTGTTTAGTGAATAAACCCCTATATTTGATTGTGTCCCTTTCCTCTCTCTTTTTTCAGTTCTTTCTCTGTGCCATTCTTTCAGTCAATCTATTGTTATACCTTCCTTCACTGAGTTTCTCCTTTTTTTCTTTCTTCCCCTTCTCGCTGTCTGTCTGTCTCTCCCTCTCTCTATATCCCCTCTTTGAGCTGTGTGTGTGTGTTTTCACTCTATTCTCTGCTTTTGTTTCACTCTGAACCTCCTCTAAAGATGACAGTTAAACAATACACAGCATGGTTATTGGAGCTGTATATGCCCAGGACCACAGGAGGGGGTGTGGGTTGGAAAGGACAGTTCCCAAGCTTTCAGATAAACTACTGAATTCATTAATGCTTTGACACAGATGCCAGTACAGGAGTAGGAGGTGGGGAGGGTCGTGCAGGCTAGATAGAGTGAGGAGAGCCTTGTCGTCTTTGTTAGAACCAACTTTTTTCTTAAGCGTAACAATCATCCCTTCTATGAATATGTTTCACTTGTGAGACTAAAACATTCACCCACATCACAATCCACGATAACCTAGACTAACAAATTGTTTTCTTTTAAAACTAATGACAGGCTTACATTATGGAGTGTTCAGAAATACAAAGAAGCTATAACGAAAGGCCTGCTTCTATCCAGGGCTTTACATATTGCTAGAACTTTAAAGTATGAGAGCTGTTTATTTTTTATCAAGTAAACGAGCAATGAAGTGATAGGTAGTAGTTAACAGGTTAATTGTGTTTGGTCTGCTCACAAATGAAACTATCCTAAACACAGCCTGGAGAGGTCCTGGCTGTCACTGGCTCTATCTGTGAAAGCAAAAGAGGAAGCAAGCAAAGGGAAATCAAGAAGGGGGTTATGAGCGCTCATCATTGCCTGAATGGGGGCATTGTAGTCCGGACCAGAGAGGGCGGCTGTATCAAAGCTGTGCCCTACTGATCAGAGGAAAGCCGCTGCTCTTGATCATTTTCGCGCTTTCATCCTCGCCAGTGCAATGTTGTCGGTTCAGATCACTTTGGTCCCCAAGCGGGAGCTTCTGAAGCAGATATAAAACCAGTGCAAATGCAAAAGAGGAAGATTCATATTAATGCAAGGATCCAGAAAATCAGGACAGGATCAGAGGCAGGTTGGCGCACAATTGGGGGAAACAGCCCATTGGCAACGCATCAAAGGGAATCTTGATACAATGCTATGTTTGATATTAATTTGACAAAACATATATCACACTTGCTCACATCCATCGAGAGACCGTTAATAAGCACTTTTCACTGAGTCTGTTCTTTTGCCAAGCTCTAGCACAGTGACTTCATCATGCAAAAAAAAAATAACCAGTGAATTATGTAAAGATGTAATATTCATAGGGATAGGGATGGGAATACTAGTTAGTGCTGTGGGGGACAGGAAGTGATTAGGTTTCCACAGATTTTCATGCTTTAGCCTAGAGCACAACTCTCCAACTTTTCACTCGCTGGTCATATCATAGAAACATCAAACTGTGTCTATGACCATCAACCTGACAAAGAAGATCAAAGACTTGTTTTGGACACTTTACTGACCCATACCTGCCAAGTGTCCCGATTTAGAAGGGGCAATCTTTATTTTGGGCCCATATCCCTTCTTTTCTATCTTAATATCGCTGTTTTTCAGGAGTTTCATATTGTTGCTGTGTCTGAGTGTTTAATCTCCACAGCAATAACACTCACAGTAATGTGTCTTTAAACTACAATAAATGTGTTAAGAAATTATTATGTGTAAATAAGATACATAGTTCTTGTTCTAAACTATATTTTAGTTGCATCAAATGTTATTAGTAAGTACTAACTAAACCACGTCAACAAAATTAAAATATAAAGGAAACCATGTTTGTAACCTCTTCATCAAATAAATAATATACAACCTGTATAATGAAAACAAAGTATGTAGAGTAGAATACAACAATGCTTTGCAAGTATTCCTTAAAATGAAGTCACTGTAAATTATACAATAAACTATACATAGTGTTATACTGTAACACAACAGAGAGTATAAAAAAAAAAATCCAACACATTTCATCTGTTATGTATTTTTCTATAAAAATTCTTTATTTTTCTTGTGCGTTAGATTACATAACAGAGTAACCTGTAGTGCCACGACAGCGGTTACAGGCGTTTCAACGGCATACATGGTCATGGCAGAGATAAAAAGCACTTTTTTTTAGATAAAACAAGCTGAGAACATTACGTTTATAAACATACTAAGTACAGGCTAGCTTTGCACGTCTATTGTGTTGTCATGATGGGGTCAACAAGCTTAAAACATTAAACATATTATGATTTCACTGTGCGTCGTGGTGATTGGAGTCAATTAAACGTTGCCTAGCTAGCTAAGGTTTATATAATAGGCATATTAGCATAACTGCACACATTTTTCTAAGCGATCAAGAGTGGCTCTTGTAAGGCATATAGTAACATTCAGCTTGGGTATGTTGTTTGCCTGAAATCACTTAACAATTATGAACTTCCTAATTTCTAAGCATATATAGAGAGAGGCATGGGATTGTGTGGTGATATTCTCAAGATTACATATATGTCTAAACTTTGAGCCTTGGATAGTTATTGACAGGTTATTTCTAGACGTGAGTTAATTTTATAAAGGTGGAGACCACTGGCTTTGCACCTATACAGCATTAGAGTATGTGAGGCAGAGATCTGGTTAATGTTTAAGGCCTAGAAAGCATATAAAATATGAAACGATACAAAGTAAGCAGCCCACCCCATGGTGTAGTGCAGAAGGCTGTCAGGCTTCATGTTCTAACAGGGTTAAACAGAAATGGCATGCACCATGGTACATTAGGAAGCGGTAGGTCTAGGCTTAATGAGCAGTGAGTGATCTGTCCCGGTGCTCAGCCCACACCTTTTGAGGGTAAGATGTAATCATGCTTACGATCGCCAGTTTGTGACACATGTCCCATTCCCTGGCCCAGTGGCATATGTGTGTGAAGGCATGCTGTAGGCATCATCCTGTCAGGAGATTGTGTGCTTCAGGTGCCTTGTTTGCCGGAGGGCAGCTGGCTCTGTGGTTCAGTCGCTGGAGTCTTGGTTGGTTCTTCCTGGCCTGTTGCTTGGTCGCTGACTTGCATCTGCAAGCGCTGGTAATCCAGGTCTGTTTGGCCCCCAGAGACTGTCGCTGGATGAGAAGGCTGGCAGGTCTCTGCTGAAACAGTAGTTGGAGCACGGCTCGCCTCTTCTACCTGTGTAGGAGCGTGGTCTCCTTCTGCCGCTGGAGTCGGAGCTTAGCTCTGTGCTCTGTCAGCTTGTGAGGTGTAACCCTATTCCCTCTTAGTGTTTAGGAGGGGGTCGGGCCCCGGTTGTCCCGCGGCTCAGGATCGCACGTTAGGAGGGAGGCATGATGCTGTCGAGGCCTGTTTCTCCGAGGTGGACTGGACAAGCTTGGTTTAGCCTGAAAAAGAGTCCTTGTTTTATAGGGTTGCCAATCAAGGCGCAATACACGTCACTTGAGGTCAATTACCTCGGATTTCAGTGTGTGTTCCAGCATGGGATGCATCAATTCCTCCATTCCCAGTTTGTGCGCTCATTTTCCGAGAACATTATTGATGAAGTATCTACAGAAATGTTAAACTCATTCAGAATCACTCTAGTATTTTGGGGGGTTTTCTACCCCTCCCCTACCCTTCAATCCCATGCAAAGATATTTTATGTCTTGAAAGTTTATTATCTTCGCATCATTGGTGGATTCATGTCGCTATTCCTATTAAATGGGCACATCAAGGAATGCTTCTTTTATTTCTTAATGCATCTACCTGGTATACATAATTTATATCTACTATTATATGGAAAAGCCTCCTGTTCTTAAAATGCAAATAGAAGATCTCCTCTGACCATGGTAAAGAATAGAAGAATATACTCCAAAATGGTGCAAATATTAATGAAAAAAAATATTTTAAAAACTCATGAAATAAATAAGAAAATAATGAAAAGTAAATAATGGAAACAAATAAAATGTACTGAATACTTAAAATTATAATCAGACTTAAAATATAAACCCTGCTGAGGGTGGTGAGCAGCGGTAGGTCTTGGCTGAATGCTCCCCAGGCAAGCAAGGGGATAACTAAGAAATGCAGAGTGGAGAGGGAAACCATTCTCTACAAGAGAACTACACTTAAAGCCTGAGAAAATAGGCCTGCAACTTTGAAATGTTGGATGGGACTGTGACCTATCTGAAATGGGAATAGGCTGATCGCACAGCTGAGTCTCTACCTGCATGTATAAACACAGGCATTCAACCACATTTGCAAAATATCTATTGTTATTCTATGCCTACCCCTCTGACGCTAGTTGTCCTTATGCAATCCAAATTGTACGTTTACTTTCTGGGGTATACCTTGTAGTTTGAAACCCCAATACTGCTGTAAGAAAGTCAGAGCTCCATCAGCTGATCGTCTGCAATAAGCACAGGTAGCCTTCTGGAAGACAACACTAATACTCTATCCTGCACAGCATCATTTATATTTAATTTAACCACCCTGTACATTTATTTTATTTTATATATCCTGTGGGCATTGTATATTTTCTTGCCTTTATATCTTGTCTGTCATGCTAAAGTGTAGTTTTGCTAGCCTTGTATGTAATTGTTTTATTCACCGATATGCACTCTATTTCCCCTCTGATTTCTGACTGACCTCTGACCCCTCCCTTCTTTTATTGATATGTTTGTTTTTATTTGAATAACCATCCCTTCATCTCTGTGCCTAGATACATATCCCCCTCCCTCGGCTTTATTGCAAGCCTATCTGACCCTCACATATCTTTATTCAACAGCCTGCTTTCAAAACTATCAAGCCCCAATACTGCTGTAAGAAAGTCTGATACCCGCCCTCCCCTCAGCACCCCACCCCATGCTCATTATTACATTTATAGATTGTCTGTCACACCCAAATTTTAGATAAGTAAAAACAGCAGGTGTACTCACTGCCTCTTATTAGTACACTCCTCTACTTTCTTAACCCGTAAAACTTAATATTTACCCTACCTTCACCTGCTCTTGATATTCCAATTATTTCCAATTTAATTTTTCCCAGTTTACCAATGATCTGTCTTCTCCTCCTCTTTATTTCCTCCTACTCCCTCAGTATAAAAATCTCTCCTTACACCCACTTCACTCATCCCCCATCCACATTTACATATGCCCCTCTCTGCTACACTCCCGCCTTCTCTCGTCTCATGCCTTGCAATAATTTTTCTACTCTCCCTCCTACCCACAATTGATCTCATCCTAGACCCCATTCACACCTATCACTTTCTCTCCTCCTGCTTCTAGCAGCTGGTGATGTCTCTCCCAATCCAGGGCCCTTCACCTTATCTACACACTAAGAAAACCAGAAAACCCACAAACCTCATCACAATACCCTGCCCTTTACCCTTACTTACCAACATTCAGTGACACTGCCTTTTGCATCCAAGATCCTTGAAAGAGTTGTGTATGTGAGATTGACAGACTTCCTCAAGTCCAACTCTCTGCTAGACCTGCTTCACTCTGGTTTCCGCGCTAAGCACTCTGTGGAAACGGCACTGACCAAAGAATCCAATGATCTACTCGCTGCAAAATCTCGTGGTCACTACTCTATCCTAACTCTCCTTGACCTGTCTGCAGCTTTTGACACTGTTGATCATCAATAGCTTCTTCTCATCCTCCGCAATATCAGTCTACAAGATATTGCTCTCTCTTGGTGCTCCTCCTACCTCTCCCAGCACTCTTTCAGTGTTTCTTTCTCTGGCTCTGCTTCTTCTCCCCAACTCCTCTCTGTTGGTGCCCCCCAAGGTTCAGTCCCTGGTCCCCTACTGTTCTCCATCTATACTGCCTCCCTTGATAAACTCATTAGCTCCTTTGGCTTCCAATATCATTTCCATGCAGATGACATGCAAATCTACCTGTCCTCTCCTGATCTCTTCCCGTCCCTCTTGACTAGTGTCTGACTGCCTCTCTGCTATTTCTAACTGGATGGTTGCCCACTTCCTTAAACTCAACTTGACCAAAACTGAAATTCTGGTCCTCCCTCAAGTGTTGCTACCCCTGTGTCTGTCTCCCTCCAAGTCAACGGTGCTACCATCAGCTCCACCACGCAGGCTCGCTGACTAGGTGTTCTCTTTGACTCCGATCTCTCCTTCATGCCTCATGTTCAGTCTATCGCCAAATCCTGTCGTTTTCATCTCAAAAACATTGCGCGCATCCAACCCTACTTAACGCCAGATGCAACTAAGGTGCTGGTCCATTCCACTATCCTTTCTCGCCCTGACTACTGTAATCTACTTCTCAGTGGTCTTGGTCTTGCTCCCAACTTGCGCCGTTACAGTCCATAATGAATGCGGCGGCGAGGCTCATCTTCATGTCTGCCCGTACCTCCCACGTCTCACACTTCTGTCAGTCCCTACATTGGCTTCCTGTAAGATATAGGGCTCAATTTAAAATTCTGGTTCTTGCTTTCAAATCTATACATAATGCTGCTCCCACCTAACTATCCTCTCTAATACACAAGTATGTCCCGTCTAGGCCCTCACGCTCTGCTGAAGACTTACGTCTATCTTCTGTCCATACTCCCACCTCTGATGCTCTCCTTCAAGACTTCGAGGGCTGCACTGTTCCTGTGGAACTCACTTTCCTCCTCCGTTAGATGCTCACCCAGTCTCCACTCCTTCAAAAAATCATTAAAAACCCACTTCTTCATAAAAGCGTATCAATTAAACTGTTAATAGCTCCTGACTGATTCCTCTTCTGCAACTGTCACTAGTCTAATACTATCCTTACCTTTTGTGTCATTTTACCCCACTCCCTCTAGCATGTAAGCTCATTGAGCAGGGCCCTCAACCCCTCTGTTCCTGTGTGTCCAACTTGTCTGGTTACAACTACATGTTTGTTCGTCCACCCACTGTAAAGCGCTGCAGAATTTGTTGGCGCAATATAAATAATAACAACAACAATAGTTGCCTACTTGGCTGGTTTTAATTATATTTATTTATTTATTTTCAGTTTACTCATGCATCCTGTTATGTGTAAAATAAAAAATAAAGGTAAAAAAAAAGATTTAAAATCTAAAAATAAAAAATACAAAACAGAATACCAACATTAATACAAAAAATTAAATATATTAATATAAAAACATAATAAAAAGCCCACAAAAAACACTGCAAAACATGGTGACATGAGGTTTCTTTTCCAAAGATTAATACATGTGTATACATAGAAAAAGCCAACTTAGATATATATATATATAAAATGAGTCAAAAGGAAGTGAATCTATCTTTAAGAGATAGGTATATTCCTGTAACTATAAAACATGTGTTAGAAATAACACTAAATAAAGAGCAATAGCACAAAATCGAATTACCAAAGAAATAAAGTAATTAACTAAATAGGACCAGAAGACCAGTGAAGACCAAACTTCACTGGTCTTATTTAATTCATTGTTTTATTTCTTTGGTAATGCAAAATGCACTGTCAGCCTGTCACGGGTGTCCCAAGAGAGCGCCCTCAGACTGGTGCTTATTGAGTAAGGCAGAGTAGGCTGCTACTTTTCTTATACTGCAGGTACCTACTCTGCCAAAATGTACTAGGCCGGGGGGTGAGGAAGCTGGAGGCATGCAGTGAGGGTGCAACTCTGCACTGAGTTCTGTTCTTCCTGCTGCTCCATCACACTCCCTTTGTGGTGATGCTGGGCGCCGGTATATGAGGTAATTTACAACCCAGCATTACTAAACAGCAGTGAGGGAGCAGTAAGGAGCAGGAATGGAGACCACCAGGGAGAAGATCCCTACTAGACCCTAGGGAGAGAAACCTCACCAGCTCTCCCAAAGGTAGGGAGCTGGATGTGCCTTTATAAATAAAAGAAATAAAATTAATATAAACAAAGGGTTGGTGTAGTTCCTGGGTTATCCTTTTGAGGTAGAAAGTGAGGATTCTAGATCCTAAACGTACCAGGAAATAACTTGTGAGCTGTGATATTAAAACTTGTAGTTTGGCTGAAGGGATATACAGGAAAAGTGCTACCCCCAATGTAAAAGGGGGGCACTGGTTACTAAACAGTAAACTGGTAAAAATTAAAAAACTAAACAAAGTAGTAGATAATAAAAATACATAAAATTCTGTATCAGAAGTATCCTGGAAAAGTGATGCCCCTAGTTTATCAGTGAACTGATAAAAACAAAAAAAATTACAAAATAGTAGATAATAAAAAAAAATACATAAAATGCTATATCAGATGTCACTCAAAAATAACATATAGGTATTGGTTCCCATCAAGTAAAAGTTCATGAAATGACAGTGTGTCGAACCAAAGGTAACAATGTTTTTGTACGCGTAAGGCAATTGCACCTACCAGTCACCCCTTTTGGGGGAGGATTGGAGTGGAAAGCAGGAGAACTTTTCCGGTGGAACACACATAACTCCAGTCTACACTTCAATACCATCTTGGTGATACTCTACTTCTAAGCCGGCGAGAGTAAACGTATCAGAGGGACTTCATTGTTGATAACTTATGACAATAGGATTCCTGCATCCATTCTGATATGCCTCTGATTTCTAGGAGCTGTTAACTGTTTTTAACTGTTATTATTAAAATTAAAGTGTTTACAGAGAACATTTTGTTTTCTATTTCTTGCCTTATATAGATTTCAAGACATCTTGCAACACAAGAGACCACTACATGGTCGGGTATTGTATATTGATAAGGAAGAATATATACCTATTTTTCACTGTCTATTATAAGGTTATTATATCAACCTCGGACTTTCCAGCTTTTGCTACTCAGTAACAGGAGTTATTTATCCTGATAGCTGATACATAGTTGTACAAAGACATTGTTACCTTTGGTTCCACAGACTGTCATTTCATGAACTTTTACTTGATGGGAACCAATACCTATATATTTTTTTTGAGTGACATTTGATATAGCATTTTATGTATTTGTTTTATTATCTACTACTCTGTAGATTTTTCATTTTTATCAGTTCACTGCTTAGGCAACCGTGCCCCCCTTTATAACTAGGGGCAACACTTTTCCTGGATACTTCTGATACATCATTTTATTTTTGTTATCTACTGCTTTGTTTTTTTTGTTTTTTTAATTATACCAGTTTATTGTTTAGTAACCAGTGCCCTTTGGGGATAGCACTTTTCCTGTACATCCCTTCAGGCAAACTATGAGTTTTAAAATTTTCTGGTACGTTTAGGATCTAATAATCCCTTTTTTCTACTGTATCTTTTAAGCCTATATGGGGGCTTTTCTATACTAGTTGAGATTTGTTGTGAGTTTGTGTCTAGATAATTCAACGGGTTGTTACCCTAGAGGAAGTCAACGTTCATTACCAACTTTCCACTCTATCTGGACATTTCTTTCTGTCCGTACTTATCTTATCCTTATGAGGTATATACTATGATAAGAAATAATATTGATAGTCTAGTGGTTTCGAATGTCTCAATGAGGGAAAAAATAAATAAAATGTGCACTTACACATTTGTGGAACTTCAATCCAGCTCCAATGTTAGAGCCTGTTCGGAGTGATCCCCACCACAGGATATAGCATGGCAGTGGAGCAGCAGGTAGTACTAAAAGCAGTTGGAGTCCTTGTGGATGTAAAAAAGAAAAACTTAATAAAATATGGTGTAGAAGTTCAAACTTAAAATTTAAAAAGTAGGTATAAGTGTTTACACTAACATATTAAAGAGACTCTAAATTAGCTCCTAAGGTATGGCGTGCAGTGGTATGATCCCCAATCTAGGATATATAGGTGGTGCAGTATATATAGGGAAGAAAAACAAAACAAATACTGCACACTGTAAAACGGGAGTGTAAAAGAGAGTTAAACTACTCTCACTTGCATGAAGTGGAGCAAGGTAACGGTTTACTCAGTCCATAAGGTGTAGGTGGTATATATCCCCACCAAGGATATACAGAACAGGAATGGAGCAGCAAGATGGTCAGGTCCAATATAAAAATAATAGAATAAAAGTTAAAAACAGATTAAAAAGCATTAAATTACCCTTGACGCGTTTCACCAAATGTGGCTTTATCAAAAGTATATTACTTTGGATATAAATGTCAAGTGTAATTTTATATATTTTTTTTATCTGTTTATTTTTATAATAAAGTACTTTGTGTTGATAATGTGATATTTTTTTCCCGTTCCTTTGTGACTCTACATATTCTAATGTGGCCGGTAGATTTCTGGCTTTTTTTCAGTGATGTAACATAAAAATACAAAGTTACGTGGAAAACATGTAAAATCTCGTTTCAAAAATCTGCTTCAGTTTTATGCATGTCAATAGAGAGACATAGACCATTAGATAACACCACTGGAAACGAAAGTAGCAAGCATGTTTCTGATTTGACTCTAAAACTTCATGAAAAACAGACATAATAAGTATTCGTATGTTTAGAAAATTTAGCCAGACCTAACTAAGATTAAAAGATTGAAAAAGCACCCTCACTGGATCACGTATTCCCACTCCATAACAACTTTAGCTCAATGGAATTAGTTTTGGGACAGGCTATCTGGGCACAATTCTACCTTCAGGGCCTTGACCATTTTCCAATAGATGGACCCCAAAGTTGGACTTCCCGTTCCTCCTCTGCCTTCACATCTTTATGAGAAAGATTTGTTGGGTAGAAGACTGAGTGCATTAGTGGAAACTCTGCTATACAGCTATATTTGCTAGAGATTCGTCTCAAAGACTCAAACAGCTATTAGCTATTCAATTATACAATAAACTCAAATTGTTCCTATCGAAAATGATAGAAAAGCCTGAATTTTATCATTATGGAGAAATTGATCAAACTGTTGGTCTTTGAGACTTCCTGTGTTGCAAATAGTTATTTAAGACAACTGTGAACCAATTTTTTAACAATTTCGATTCCTTCACAACTAAGACAAACACACAACACTCATTAAAAATTAAATTTAAAAAAAATTAAATAAAAAAGACTACATTTGCATATCAAGTGGCATGGTGAAATCTATAATTGTATAAATAATTACTGATTTCACCATACCACTTGATATACAAAGGTAGATTTTTTTCCCCATGAGTTACAGTACAACATAGCTTTTTCTATAGTACCATTTTAATGTAATAAAGAGTTACCCTGCTATTAGACATAACTGTCACTTTAAAAGTTATTATTAAAGAATTAAGAGAAACTAGTTAAAACAATCTTAATTCTACAGACATTAAATAACAATTATAAAATTACATATGATAAAAGATAAGCCACTAAAGAAGGCCAAGCAATAGCAATGCGAGTACACATACACAAAACAATAGCACAACAAACACTGCCCCTCACAACTACTGAACTTGGAAATATGCCAGTCTCAAAGCTTTTTAGTGTAAAAGGGCGGGCATCAAACTGAGCTGGTGGAAAAAAAGTCTGGATATCTGTCGGGGGGCAGTTAAGGAGGAAGGAGGGAGAAGGGGGATAGACAGCAGGGATAGCGTCTTTCATTTATACAGTTGTACAATGAGCTCCAATGTTATAGCCTCCTCCCAGCACACTCATACAGCACTCCTATCAGTGTGAAAATTCTAAACAACTCACTAACACTGCCCTCTCGTGGCTATCGGACAGACGAGTTGGCTGTAATCTCACAATGACTACAGGATAAAATATTCAACTGCAAAAAGAGATTACCTGAAAAACCAGTCATTGTATTATATTCATATGCAAAAATACTAGCTAAAAAGGTAACTTGCTAACTATGGCCTCAATTTATTTATTTTTTTAAAATTCTTTATTTTGCAGGTGAGCAGGTGTAACACGTGTATCAAATAAGTCAAACATATGCTTAGCGTAGTACAGTGTTGATAGCAAACATGTCAGCAATTTAACACCTATTTTTTAATTTATGTTTAAGATAGCTTCGGTGAAGAGAGGTCGATATACAGTAGCTTATAATCAAGTGTAGAACATGGCAGACATCTGAGACCACTAACCGTAACATACAGAGCATAACACGTTGTATCTGGAGCATATATGTGTGCAGGCTATCTGTCTGCCAGTTTGCCTGCTTGTATGGAGATACTACCTGGAGGTGTACTCCGAGAAGTGTATCTGGGCTGCCTGTCTGTTGGCAAGTGTCGGTGCGTGTTCTAGCCCAAGTGGGAATAAAACGAGCTCCATGACCCCGAAGCTCAGGGGGGTAGGGGGAGAAGACTGTGTGTGTTGGAAACTGTTCCTTAGAACGGTACATAACTTAGGTCCTGCTGTGTTCTCTAGAGGTCATTTGACCTGTATAGGTCCTTACCACAGTGGTGTAGTGAAAGCGTAAAAACATTTATAGTGAAAACAAATCGGAACTGCGCCTGAAACTTAAAGACTGGGTTAATTGTTAATATAGTATTGGAAAGTCCGCTGTAAAACCCCCATGTGATGGGACATTTGCTGAGCAGGGGCTCTTCCGTTTGCACCTCATCCTGGAGTGGAGAAACCAGCTGGTGTGAAGATGGTGACATTGTTCAAATCCCACTGATGAGTGGGTCTGCCAATCCCGGATGTGGCACGGGTGGTTATCCCCAATGCTAGTAAAAAGCTGTCTGCGTTGGACGGAGATGTCAACTTGTGGTGTGTATCAATTTGCTTGGCCATAAGGGATTGTGGGGCCCCCCACTTGTATGGGATGTTTGCTGCTCTCAGCTGGCTGGTCACCTCCTTAAATGTAGCTCACCATTGCAGCGTTGCTCTGCTGAGGTCATGATAGAAGCTCAAAGCATGTTGCTCAAACATAAATAGTGCGTGACCTTTGACCTGTGAGAGGAAGGTGTCCTTGTCGGATCGTGACCTGAAGCTTAGAATCACATCCCTGGGATGTGTCTGTATATCCATCGTGCTGCAACCCTTTAGCTTGCTTGGGTGTCAAGGATGCTGCAAACAGTCTTCTGATATAGTGGGGTAGTTCTCCAACATCGACAATGTCAGGAATACCCCAAATTTTTATGTTGCGCTGGCGTGCCAAGTCTTCCAGGTGTTCCACCTTAGCACTTAGCGCTGCACAGGTGCTTGACACCTCCAGTAGGTGAGTATCAGCAGATTGTTGTTTAAGTCCAAAACTTTGGACGGTATCCTCCATGGCTTTAATTCTCCCTTCTAGCATGCCTAGGTCAGCTTTTAATGTCGCCATTTCAGAGGTAAAGAATGTTTTAATGTCCGTTACCATTGTGTGGATATCGGTTTTTCTGGGCCACTGTGGGTCAGGCTGCTTCTGATAAGTGGTTTTGATTATATATATAATTAATATATTTTTAATACTTGATTTTTGAGAAAATTTTAAAGTCTAGCCAAAAATGTTAAATCATTTTGAAAATCGTATCCAACAATATTAAATTCAGGCCTATTCTGTTCAATAATGTAAACACTGCTTTAACTCTTAAGCACACAGCTTAATTTAGATTGTCTTGTAAAATATGGTCTTATAGCTAGGATAGCCTTATGTCTATCCCACGCATGTGTAAACTCCTTTACTGTGTTAACCTCTACCACTTAAGCTGAAAGGCTATTCCATGCATCCACTATCCTCTCAGTAAAGTAATACTTCCTGATATTATTTTTAAACCTTTGTCCCTCTAATTTAAGACTATGTCCTCTTCTTGTGGTAGTTTTTCTTCTTTTAAATAAAGTCTCCTCCTTTACTGTGTTGATTCCCTTTATGTATTTAAATGTTTCTATCATATCCCCCCTGTCTGGTCTTTCCCCCAAGCGATACATGTTAAGATCCTTTAACCTTTCCTGGTAAGTTTTATCCTGCACTTCCCTCTTTCTACTGCTACCGTGCCATATAAGATACCTGATCATTTCAGTTTTTACAGGTATAACTTTCCCTAATAAAAATATTAAAGCGGCACTGTCATTCTGAACTTACCTTTCCTCGATCGATTTCTCTTCTCTCCCTCTGTCAGGATCTGTTCTTCATTTTTTCCTGTCTGCTCTAGTTTTCTTTAAAACATAAGACAAAGTAGAGACTATTTGTCTATGGAGATTTCTTATGCCTGACCAGCGGAGGAGCAAAGTGCGCTCCGTTTCCTGTGGTCAGAGAAATTTTCCCACAATTCTTACCTTTCCTTTGTGATTTTGCGATGCTTCCTGTCAGTGTTTTCAAAACGTTCTGTCATTTTAGATAGAATGCCGGTGAAACTACCGAATTGTGTCCTAACAGAATGAGAACAGTTTCTCCATTCGTGTTAGGATGCAATTCAGGACTTTGTTCAGGTCGGAATTTCATTAGAATGAATGAAATTCCGATCTATTCGTGCCCACGGTATCAGGGAGCTATCTACAAAAGGCTGAAAGATGTACTAATACTACTATACCGCAAGTAGGGGCATGTCTACTAAACAGTGAGCAGCCATGAGCTGCGAGTGGGGGCCCTAAATGAAAATGGGGGGGGGGACCGATTGCCCTTTGCCCCAGCCCCCACCCATGAGTGGTGGGTGAGGGCCCTAAATGAAAATTGGGGGACCTACTGTCTTCCTCCCCCCAACCCCCACCCATGAACGGCAAGTGGGGGACCTAAACAAAAATAAAGTGGGACCTACTGTTCTCCCCCTGGGCCCCACCCATGGGTGGCGGATGGGGGTCCTAAAGGACTATGGGGTGACTTATTGTCCTCCCCCCTGGCTCCCACCCATGGGCGAGGGGTGGGGCTAAATGTAAAGCCCACCCAGTGACTAGGGGTCCCCAAGCCCCTAGTCACCCCCAACCCCAATTTTTATTTATTTTTTTAATAAAGACCCACCTACCCCCCTCACCCTCAAAGAGGGGGAACAAGAAAACTAAATACCTGTAAATAAAAAATAACTTACCATTTTAGGTCTTTTTTCTAAAAACCTATTTTCAGCCCTAAAAAAGGCCAAATAAAAATCCATCATACCCATCGCAACTGTAAAAAAAAAAATTTTTTTTTTTTTTAAATGCACAAAAAGAAACCCGACACTAAAAAAGTAAGCCATCTTCACCCAACAAGGGCACCCTGCAGACTGAGCTCTGCAGGGTGGGGAAAGGCTTTTAAAGCCTTCCCATGCCCTGCAATTTGACTTAGAGCTATCTGATTGTTTGACTCCAAGCCAACCAATCAGAGTGCTCTGACAGGTAAATGAAGAGACTGACAGGTAAGTCTCTACATTTACAAAAAACACAGAATTCAAGGTTACACTCACAAAGTCACAGAAAATTCAGGCTCATCAATAGTCTGTAGGTTCCACCAGATTCAATAGTATTGAGGTTCCAAAGATTCATGTGAATAAAATTGAAAGAAACATAGTGCAACACTGAAAACAGTAAAGATGCGTGCTTTAATGGTTACACTTACAAAGTATAAGTAGGTTAAAAGCCCATCAGAATAATCCTGTGGTCCCCAGTCCTGGTCTTAGTAATAAATGTGACAGGAGTAACATATAAATAAAATTTAAAAAAAAAACTCACCATACGCAAACGCAATAGTAGACCCTCTAAGCCCCACAGGATCAGTGCAAGCTGGCAGGGGCTCACTTTGCAGCAGTACAATGCACCCCAGGGTTAAAATCATGCCAATTTCATACCACCAAATGTTGGGTGGTATGCATGTAGTCCAACATGAAGGAGAACTTGTTACACACACACACACACATTATGTAGATAGCATGTTCATATTACACCAATAGCAAGCAGTAGAGGAGAATACTATAATATGTTTCCTTAGTATAACAGAGAAACTAGAAACTTTATTTTTGTTAAAAACAATTATAGTGTACCGTAGATTTGAAATCCAGGAAGCCCTCCGTAAATATATAAATTTCTTCCATTTGCTTTCGAATCTACAAACAATATTTGAAATTTTACTTTAATTCTATAACTCTATTTTAAAGTTTAAATATAGTTTGTGCACCCCAAGGTATAATTAAAGGGACATTTTGGGCACTAACAAAAGTGAATCATAAAACTGTTTATTTCTGTTCAATTCTCTGCCAGTGAGAGTTGAAACTTCAAGTTCCAATTCTCTTTAATGAATATACAGGGCTGCATGTAGCTGGGCGGCTGTTTAGGAGCACCAGCTGTCCATAGAGAAAGAACCAACCCAGCACAACACCACTAGATTTAATTTTATTATTGTTATTTTATTCTATTGTCCCAAAGAGACATGGAGTCTCCAATCTGAGTAGCTATTGTATATTGTGATTGGTAATCATTTCACTAATTAAAAAACGAAAGCCAGGACATCATTATGCAAAGATACGGAGCAGTAAAAGGAATATAATGCTGCTCTGTTCTCTGTCCTAATAATGCCCTGCATATTGATTTTCCTTCAGTGCTGAGAAGATTAACGATGGTAATATACATGCGTCTGAGTACCAAAGCGTCTGGAAGTAATGCTTTCCATTCTGATCACTACACACTCAGATTAGTCGTATTCATACTACAAATCATAGTAAAGAAAAATTATGAATGAGAGTTGGTTTATAATTCATAATTATTCCTGAAATACACAGACATGTTCAATCTCAGATGCTGAGACGGAGAAGGTACAGGAACAGTTGTCAGGGTCTTACCTGAGGTGGGAGTCCAGTAGGCAGAGATGTGTGCTTAACCTTGCAGATAAACACAGTCCAAGGTGATCAGGTAAGAAACCACCAAGACTGAATCTCCATTTTTATCTCCAACTTGCGGTACAGACAAGGACACAAGCAGGAGGATTGTCGAGGATAAGCCAAAGTCAGAGGATGCCAGAGGTCAGGATAAACGAGGAAGAAGCCAAGGTCGATCTGGAGAACTAGTTCTGGAAACAAAACAGGAACAACACACGGTCACCAAAATCAAAGAACTGACAAAGTGCCCAGGGCAAGGCAGTGCTTAAAAACCTGGTTGATTAGCGATCTGCCTCAGGTGAAGTATAGGTATAAGCCACAGATGGAGTCCAGTCCCCTAGTGCTGCAGACAAAGCCAGGTGTAACAAGGATAGAACTATTTCAAAAGAACAGAATCTGCTCTGGCTTAGAGGCAGTATAGCAGATGAAGGACGCAAGTTCAAAACCTCTTTTTGGCACCTGTGGGACGGCCACGCCTAGCCGCCTGGATGTCACGGGGATTACCCTGGCAATAGTGACTATTATATCTCCAGCTCCCTGGCCAGCCTCTGATGGCATGAAGCAATGATTCTAAAGAGAATCTCTTGTTATCAGCAAGCTTCCAAGGATGGACGCAGGTTGAGATATTAGGCAGAAAAAACAAGGCTAGCAGCCAAGGAGCAGCTAGTCCAAATAAAAAATCAGTTAAAAGGAGGGGTTTTACCTAATTTCTTGATCATTACTAAACACACTAATATCTACCATATAGTTAGAACATATTGAATGGGTATAATTATTCCTGAGTGTTGCTTTAAAACAAGAGACTATGCTTGTAAAAGAGACTAGTTCTGGGGTTTATTTACTACATAGGGGTTTAGTGGATATCCCTACGTTTCAACTATATCTGCCATGTATGCGAGTGTGCAGTTGCTCAAACTTGGCAACGCTGTTGGTGGTAAGCTAAACTTCTTATGACATCAGTGTGATGAATTTCTGATTATTCATCAAAGTGTTTCTTGCATAGCTTGGTTTTCATGATTGTGCACTGCCCGCTAGTATATGAAGACATAATCACCTTACACTTTATTATAGGGACACTCCAGGCACCCAGATCACTTGTGCCCATTGGAGTGGTCTAGGTGCCAACTCCCATTACCCTTAATCCTGCAAGTGTAATTATTGCAGTTTTTATGAATTGCAATAGTTACCTTGCAGGGTTAAGTCCTCCTCTAGTGGCTGTCTATCAGAGAGCCACTGGAGGGACTTCCGTGTTCTTAAAACACGAAAAGTGTTTTAAACGACACTGGAAGTCCTCACGTTATGACCATTCATAAATGGTTTGACAGCTTATTTTTGGATGGTGATACAGGACCCTTGGCACCATAACTACTACAGCTAATTGTAGTGGTTAAGGAGCATAGGATGTCCCTTACCTTTTTTATACTCTATTGTGTGCACAATAGAGTATAACCCTTTCAGGGCATTCCAAGGGATACAGTGGCTGACTGTGGCTACCAGAGGCATTAGGTAGATTTTCCCTTGAAGATACTGTCTATATTTGCCTTTATTGACACGATGCTGGACGTCCTCATAGTGTGCACGAGGACATCAAAATCCCCATAGGAAATAATTGACTCAATGCTTTACATGGGGAAAGCCTAATGCACGTGCGACTCTAGATGAGCATCAGTTTCTCCCCTATTGCTAATGCTGGAGGAGACAGTGCTGTAACCACGTGGGACCCTTTCCATGTCTGAGGGGCGGACAATAACTTTATGGCTGAGAGACACTACAGCGTTAACAATACAAATTTGTATTCCCATAGTGTTCCTTTAATAAACAAATAAGCACTGTAAAACTAAATATAATAAAATCGATTAAAACATATACACATGTACACTATGCCACAAACATGCTTAAAGGAACATACATATCAATATTGATTGGATCCCAACAGGTAATAACTCACATGTTGGATTTTTACCGGTGGCAGCTGGCGACGTTTTCAGATGGTGGGTCATTAAGCTCCAACCCTAATTTGATCCTGTCCCTCTCTGTAAAATTTGCCCCTAACCTGTTGGACTTTGCCCACTTAATATGGTTACTTTCAATATATATATTAAAGGGTACGTTTAACGCACCAAACCAACATTATTTGAAAAGAGCACAAAATTCGATCTATACATTATGCTGGCAGTTTTGTCAGTTTTTTTCCCATATTTATCTCAATTCCTCGACAAACACTCACTGCCGAGGATTTGATTGACTGGGAGAGCAGATGAGACCTCCCGCAGGAGGTCCCACTGCTCTAGACCCATAGCAACCACAGCGCATGTGAGTGTACCAGGGAGGAGCAGAGGTTGAGTTCTCTGTCATTTAGATATTAAATCACTTTTTATTACAGTCCTAGTCACACCTTCTTGCATGTTACTTGCACAGCCTTCCAAACACTTCCTCTAAATGGACATTTAATGTTTAAACTCTTTTTATTGCACCATCTAAATTAGAATTTCTTATCTCCTGCTCCGTAAACAGTCCTCTAGACCCCACAGAAGCCTCCTATGTGTGATTAAAGTTACATAGTTACATAGCTGAAAAGAGACTTGCGTCCATCAAGTTCAGCCTACCTCACATTTGTTTTTTGCTGTTGATCCAAAAGAAGGCAAAAAAAAAATAGTTTGAAGCACAATTTTGCAACAAGCTAGGAAAAAAATTCCTTCTTGACCCCAGAATGGCAGTCAGATTTATCCTTGGATCAAGCAGTTATTACCCTAGATTGAAAGATTATATCCTTGGATATTCTGTTCTTGCAAGTATGCATCTATTAGCCGTTTGAACATCTGTATGGACTCTGATAAAACCACTTCTTCAGGCAGATAATTCCACATCCTGATTGTTCTTACAGTAAAAAAACCTTTCCTTTGCCTTAGACGAAATCTTCTTTCTTCCAGTCTAAACGCATGGCCTCGTGTCCTATGTAAAGTCCGGTTTGTGAATAGATTTCCACACAATGGTTTGTATTGGCCCCGAATATATTTGTATAATGTTATCATATCCCCTCTCAGGCGACGTTTTTCTAAACTAAATAGGTTTAAATTTGTTAACCTTTCTTCATAGCCGATATGTTCCATTCCTTTTATTAATTTTGTAGCCCGCCTCTGCACTTTTTCTAGTGCCATGATATCCTTCTTTAGAACAGGTGCCCAAAATTGCACAGCATATTCAATATGGGGTCTTTCAAGTGATTTATAAAGAGGCAAAATTATATTCTTGTCCCGAGAATGAATGCCCTTTTTCATGCATTACAATACCTTACTGGCCTTGGCCACTGCTGATTGACATTGCACATTGTTGCATAGTATGTTGTCTATAACAATTCCCAAGTCCTTTTCATGTGTTGTTATCCCTAATTCGCTTCCAATAAGGGTATACGTTGCTTGTGTATTCTTTACGCCCAAGTGCATAACTTTGCATTTTTCAACATTAAATTTCATCTGCCATTTGAGTGCCCAGTCCCCCAGTCTATCTAAATCCAACTTAAAGAGCAGGAATTTCTAAAGCAAGTTAACATTTGAGTGAAAATTAAACCATTTTTGTCATGCAGGCTGTGTCAGTCACAGCCAGGGGAGGTGTGGCTAGGGCTTGATAATCAAATGCAAAAGTAAAGTATTCCTAAATAGCAGAGAATTGAGCAGTGAAACTGGATAGGGCATGATCGATACACAAAAACTGCTTCATTAAGCTAAAGTTGTTGTAATGTCTATAGTGTCCCTATAAACAACCCAGCAGGCATGGTGTCAAAATGGAGGCTGCACTAGGGGAAGAAGAGCTCTACCAACTCCACCCCTAATGCTAACAGACTTTCACAGCTCAGTAGGTAGGCTTTCTTTTAAGGCAGCATGATTGTTGCCCGTAAAAGAAATATTGGAAAGAACAGGTAGCTGTCAGAAAACCAGTGGGGAATGGGGTAAGGGGGCATGGCTTGGCTGGCAACCATGATTACCACAAACTGAATGAGCTCTGAACAGACCTAAGCTTAAAAAAAAAAAAAAAATTAATTTTATTTTGTGAACTGCTAACTTGTAAAATATGCAGCCATCATAGAGAATCAAGAGACTTGGTCCAGAGCCTAAATCTTATGGCAAAACTGTTCTGGCATGTAGCCGTGTAATCGAGGCAGTGAAGAGTGTGAAAAATACTTCGACGTCGAATTTAAGTGACTGGGATAAATTGGAGGGCGAATTACCAGCCAAAACTCCAACTAATGTGATCCGCCGAATGAGTTCTCTGATCATACAGGAAATTAATGGCCAATAATGTTAGATACAGGTGGGGATTTTCTGTAAAACTCCTGTACGTCATGAGGGAAAAAGTTTTACAATTTATACTCCATAGGAGGGACAGGGAATCCTAACGACATGGACTATAAAAGATGTTGCAGAGACAAAAATTCCAAAGAAACAAAGAAAGAAGACTTAAATTGTGACCCATTGTGTATGTATGATGAAGACTTCCTGCTGGATTATGAGTATTTTGTAATCCTTATTTGAGACTGTTTCAAGATGCTCTGCAGCAGCTGTGACTTTTCCAGAAATATAATGACTTATGCTTCCTGTTTCAAGTTTATTTCCAGAGATATAACTACAGGACAGTTATTAATATCTACTTGATATATGTTTTTTCTTTTTTGATGTGTTTTCTTTTTTATATGATGTTTATTGCTGCACTGTATTTGAGCTACATATTGACAAGAGAATGGTTAATGTATATTAATATTAAGCGATGTGGCTCAGGTGCATTGCCAGTATCTTTTGTAATTGTATTATATTAAGAAGCCCTGATCTGGTTATAACTCAGATATTTACCTCCAATTTTTAGGGCTTGTATATTTTCTACGGGTTTGAAATTTTTACTCATATCCCTCACAGCCTATTTTTTTCTCTCTACCAGGTGACAGCCCTGATCTGGTTATAACTCAGATATTTACCTCCAATTTTTATGGCTTGTACATTTTCTATGGGGTTGAAATTTTTACTCATATCCCTCACAGCCTATTTTTTTTTCTCTACCAGGTGACTAAAAATGTTATATGGCATTTAAAAATGTGTTTTAGTGGTAAAAAACAAACAAACGTTTTAATGATTTTTATTAGCTGCACTTACACCCTCAAGTAATATTTTAAATCCAAAATGTGTAAATTGTTATTCTAATGGGATACTAATTTATATAAATACCTTCTTAAAGTGCAATCGCAACCTTCCCGTTTTTGTGCAAATATTTCTAAAAAAAAATGCCAATCTCATAAAGTGCAATAACAGTACTCATTTTTTTTACATTTATTTTTTTTAACACAAAAAATAAAAAAAACCACATCACAAATTATTTGAATTCCTTTAAAACCAACTTTACAATGATTTGTACGTTCTTAATTTGCATTCTGTTATACCCACGGTATTGTTGTTGGAACTGCTCTTTTATGCAGGGATAGAACCTCTAGAGGGAGCCCTTTCCCTTCCTTGAGAGTTTGCTTGCTCGTATCGGGATGGTTTTGTGTAAGAAAAGAAATTCACAGATAGCGCAATATGCAAGAGCACAAATATTAAGTAATTTAAACAATATGTTCCACTCACATTTGGAGGAACATTTTTCCGTAGGCTCTATTTGCTGAACCAGCGTCTCATTTGGGGGTGATGCTACTCTTGGAATCACCAGAGAGATCCTTATGGTAGATTTATTATTTACAACTTTATTCAGGTAATATGTATCAAAAGTCAATAAATAAGCAGCTTTGGTTTTGCAAACAATAACTAAAACAATATTAAAAACAATATGATAAAAAATATAAATATCAAAGTAGGGCTTGCTTATCTTCTTCAAAAACAAGTTTCACCCTTGGGACTTCCTCAGTCGGTGTTTTTTTTTCTCTGTCTATACTTTTGTTACTTTTTCCCCTTTTTTATTTATTTTTTATTTATTTATACTTCTCCTCCCCGCACTGCACTTTTTTACCCCAAATTTTTATTTTACATGGGGTACATATGGACCTTTTCTTTTCTTTTTCTTTTTTCTTAGAAGCATAGGGCCTATGCCTTTATACTTTGTCTAATGTGGATTTTCCTTGGATTTGGATTTAAGTATTAGGACACTTTTTTTTCTTCCTGATGCAACACATGGAATGCTATAATACATTATGTATATTTATGGCCTTATAATCTACGTTCCCATGCTTGATTGTTTACCCAATTCTTCCCTTTTTTTCTCTCTGTTTTGTACCTCTTCCCCATGTTTTTTTTCTCTTTAAAATGTTTTATAAAACAATAAAAAAATATTTGAAAAGACAGTCAATGAGGATGATCCATAAATCTGTTTATGTCTTTTTTATACTCTCCCAAGCACCAATTGAGGGACATAATAAGTGGAGGGGACGGGAACTGCAGTACTAATAATAAAGATGAAATCAACTCCCGAGAACGGCGTGCCCGGGCATTACCAACTCAATTCAATTATGGGACAAATACGCCCTTAAATACGGGCTGACTACTATGACATCGCCACTTACCCCCATATATCGTAATAGAGCCTTCACACCAGGCATGAGACCATGGGACTTTAAAGGCTTAGAGCAAGCTGGCCTTCAGAGAGTATACCAACTCTATGCAGCAGATAAGATAATTCCCTTCCCAGACCTACAGTCCAGAACAACGTTGAAGCCAGCCGACTTCTTTAGATATCTACAACTTAAAAATGACGCGGCCCTAGCGACGGTGAAAATCGCCGCTACAACCAGTCCAACCTTTTTTGAACGCACCTGCTTAACGGTATCAAAAAGGCATGATCACCACACTATACTCCCACCTCTGTTCCACCACACGGGAATGGGGACAACTCCAATACACTGACAAATGGGAATCAGACCTAGGCGAAACTTTAGAGGGAATTGACTGGCAGGACATATGGGAAGCTAACACAAAAACTTCCATCTGCGTCACGATGCAGGAACAGGCATATAAAACAATGCTTAGATGGTACATTACCCCGGTCCAATTCTACCACATGAAAAAAACACCTACAGATCTCTGTTGGCGTAACTGCGGAGAAAAAGGGACATACCCCCACATGTGGTGGTTCTGCCCCACCATTAAACTCTTCTGGAAAGACATCCAAAAGCTAATAACACAACTCCTACACAGACCGGTAGACCTAAACCCATGGACATTCCTGTTAGCCAAACCCCTAGATGACTGGCCCAGACCAGAACAACAATTGCTAAACAAAATAGCACTAGCAGCCAGAAAAGCCCTAGCCCAAACGTGGCTGCAACCTATCCCCCACCCAATGTCCACAGTGCTCAACAAAATCAAAGACTGTCATCTCATGGACAAATTAATGGCCCAAATAAGAGGCTCAATAAAATCATTCACTAAGACGTGGGAACCGTGGGAAAACTACAACGATGACTAGTAAGCCTCGAGGATCGTTCAGGACCCGCTCCTCCCCCCCCCCTATCCTCTCCAACCATCATCCCCCCCTCATTAGGCTGAGCCCACCGGTGCTCCGGCCTATAAGTTCAACACATTGAATCCATCAAAACCAGACGGCAACCAAAACACAAAGAAACAATACACTATCCAAGTTCTTACATTACCGTTGGGCTGTTCTTTTTATTTATGTTTGTCTATGTACAATTCTGGTAAAACCAATGGCAGCCAGATCCCGAATGTAAATGATGTACGTGAAATGCTATGAATACCGCATGTACCTACTATTGGCAACATTTGTTCTTTTTTGTATTCACAATGCGGCTTCTGCGCAAGCCATATGACTGCATAGTGCAATTTTTTTCTGTCATTGAAGAAATAAAGAATTATTATAAAAAAAAAAAGATGAAATCAAGAATATATGTTTGATCAAACATCTCAAAGTTAAACTAGTAGGGCGCCGCCCCAGCTGCCCCTATGGATGCGCCTCCACTGATTTCGATTCATGTGATAGCTCTACATGTACATTTAAAACTGTGAAAAACATAGTATACTCTGTTAGTCCCTACTCAAATACTTTTAGCTCACTTGTGCCATTACAGAGAGAATCTTTACATTTTACCATCATATCAAACTGATCACACTAGCAAAGTCCAGATCTGAAACACCAGTATGCCCTCTGAACACAAGAAATGGACACCTTAGACAACTGTCTCAGGCTTCCTTGGTCCTTATCAGGAAGGTGAGGGTAATACCCCTCTTACACAATGAGCATCGAGTCAATGCCTGGATTGATTGTTTGACCTAAGTCATGTTCAGATTTGCCAAAAATCACTTTTACTCTCAGATCATAAGTATGAATAATGCCATAACTAGGGAAACCGTTATCAATGAGATCACTGGTTACTGTATATTTTTAATTTAGTTTTTATGATCAGTGTAGGTATCAGCTGTGGTGTGTAGATAGTGGAAAATTGGGTGTATTTAGGTGATTGATAGGTTAAAGCTTGAAAAAAAATTAAATTAAAAAGAAAATTCTGATATTAGTCACATCAACAAAATCTGATTTGCATAGATATGAACTTCTACGGGACATCACACACTACCAGTAATGTAAAATGTCAGTCAGCAATTGCTTGGTTTTGCTAGCTAACTATTATGGTTTTGTCTTCTTTTTTTGTTTTCAAAAGTTATACATATGACAAAAATGTCTAATATGATTTAAAAATGTCACCAGTAAAGCAGTGTATTTAAAATGTTAAACATTGCTTATGTAATTTGAAATGTTGCCACTACGGGTATGGTTAGGACGTATTTGGGGCAAAGGTAAGAGTTAGGAAATAATTAAAGGGACACTATAGTCACCAAAACAACTTTAACTTGATGTAGCAGTTTTGGTGTGTAGATCATGTCCCTGTAGTTTCACTGCTCAATTCTCTGCTAGTTACGAGTTCAATCACTTTGTTTATGAACCCTAGTCACACCTCCCTGCTTGTGACTTGCACAGCCTTCCTAAACACTAAAGAGTTTATCCTTCCTTTATTGCAAGTTCTGTTTAATTTAGATTTTCTTATCCCCTGCTATGTTAATAGCTTGCTAGAACCTGCAAGAGCTTCCTGTATGTGATTAAAGTTCAATTTACAGAGAAAGAGATATGATTGTTTAAAGGACCACTATAGTCACCCAGACCACTTCAGCTCAATGAAGTGGTCTGGGTGCCAGGTCCCCCAGGTTTTAACCCTGCAGCTGTAAACATAGCTGTTTCAGAGACAGCCGCTAGAGGCGCTTCCCGGACGCTCAATGCGAAAATTGCATTGAGCACGTAGAACGTCCATAGGAAAGCATTGTGAAATGCTTTCCTATGGGCGTTTTTAATGCGCGCACAGCTCTGGCCGCACATGCGCATTCAGCTCCACACGGGACCTGACGTCGGAGGGGGAGGAGAGGTCACCAGCACCAAGGGAGCCCTGCGCTGGATAAAGCTAAGTGTCTGAAGGGGTTTTAACCCCTTCAGCCAAGTGGGAGGGGTGCCAGTGAAACAAGTTTGTTTTCCTGACACTATAGTGATCCTTTAAGGTAAATTACATCTGATTGAAAGTGAAACCAGTTTTTTTCATGCAGGCTGTGTCAATCATAGCCAGGGGGAGGTGTGACAATGGCTGCATAAACAGAAGCAAAGTGATGTCACTCCTAAACGGCAGTGAATTGAGCAGAGAAGCATGATCTATACCATGGGTCCTCAAACTCCGGCCCCCCAGATGTTGCTGAACTACAACTCCCATGATTCTTTGAATTACATAGATAGCCAGAGAATCATGGGAGTTGTAGTTCAGCAACATCTGGGGGGCCGGAGTTTAAGGACCCATGATCTATATACTAAAACTGCTTCATTAAGCTAAAGATGTTTAGGTGCTGTTTAAGAGTGCAGAGACCTAGGGTTAGGAATCTCAGGTTAGTTTACAGGGATACTTCCACTGCCCAATTACAAAATAAATTTTTAAAAAAAACCACTGTTTAATACATATATCCCCAATGACAACTTGCATGCATTTAATAATGCATTTTTTTAATTGAGGGGTATATCTAAAAACATCTTGCAAAACCTGTAGATTGTTTGTCTGCCCTCCCCTCTAACCCAGACTTGCTGTGACTGTCCAATCACAGACTTTCCAAAGCAGCTCAATTAAAAGTCATTCCAAGGCAGGTGCTCTGGGCAATTTCTGCCTCTTGAGTTTAGGTCCACTGAGCTAACCAAACCAGGAAGTCACGGGACCTGTAGTCTCATTGATAGCCAGGGGAATATAACTAGGTTAACTTATAAAAGTGTCAATTTCTATTGAAATCTCAAATTTTTGCCAAATTAAAAGATAGGACACACTCTTCACACATAAAGCTGTTAAGCAAGCTAAAGTGCTTTAGGGGTCTGGTGTGTCCACTGATAATAGTGGCTAGTGGCTAGACCCAGGGCCTGATTTGCCAGTAGACAGATTAGGCAACTGCCTACTTCTATGCATTGTTGCTGCAAAAATTACCTTTTTTCTGTCCATATTTTAATCTTGAGTCTGATTGCTCCTTAATTGAAGCACACATACAACACTCATTCACACTCAACATTACTATGGTCCCCAGAACAACTACAGCTTAATGTAGTTGTTCTTGTGAGTATAGTATGTCCGTGAAGGCATTTTGATTTAAACACTGCCTTTTCAGAGACACCTCCAGTAGCAGTCACTGAGACGGCCACCAGAGATGCTTCCTGGGTCAGTGCTGCACAACGACTCATCTCTATGAGGAGATGCTAATTGGCCCAAAGCAGCGTTTTGTCGGGCATTCACAATAGCCTCCCAATGCTTCCCTATGCGAAAGCATTGGATTGGCAGAGATCATAAAGTTTAATGATCTCAGCAAAGAGGGACGAGCGAGGGTGGGGCCTTCCACAGCAAAACCCACATGGAGCTGGAGAAGGGTGATTAAAATCATCTTTTTTAACTGGAGGTAAGGGGGGGAAGGGGGGTGCAAGACCTAAACAGCTATATGGACTTATACTATTAGGATAGGAACACACATTTGTAATATCTTTAATATCCTATCTATAGTTTTCACATTCTATCCATGTGTTTTTAATTTGTGAGGGGCAGGTTATGCATAAATGTATGTAACCACCGACATCTGAAATGTAAATCCGAGCTTGGTTAGGGGTTTTAAATAATGGCACTGCAAACTAAAGTAGGCTCTTAATGTGACCTAGAAGTCCCCAGTTTCCATTATGTATAACTTCTCAATCATTCAGGACGGTATGACATAGCAAAACTAAAAACAAAACAAAACGCAAAACTGGTTTTGACCTGATGTTGAACTTGACTGTGAACTGTCACTATAAAGTGAACTGTCCTTTTAACATATCAGTTTGCAATTTCCTTCAACTCTAATAGAGGTATTTACTAAAGTGAATTCAAGGTGAGTCTGAAATTTAAAGTCAGAGTAACTGAACTGAAAGCATAACTGACTAAGAGAATGTTTCCAGTTCACCTATTTTTGACCTTAAATTTGAAATTCACTCTGTGTTCACATTGAGATTCAATTTAGTACATAACTTAGTAGGGATCCTACTGGAAATATGCCTGTTTGTTTTTGTTTTACACTGTGCCAAACATGGAAGTAATGTTAATGGAACATGTATAGTATTTATAATAGAATATATACATTAGCTGTTATTTACTCACCAGTTTACACATATTGAAAGGGTTGCACATTCAGATACCTGTATGGCACACTTTCTAGGTGAAGAATGGAATTTATTTTGCTTTAAATGGTTACTGAGTAATTGCTAGACCTTTGTGCTTATAAACCTGTGAAAGGTACTTTGACCATAATAAAGGTTACAATTCTGAGTAATCTTGGTTTAGCTCTCATGAAACAGGGAAAGTGGCTCTGTCACCTCACAAAAAATGTAAAGGGACACTATAGTCACCAGAACAACTACAGCTCACTGTATTTGTTCTGGTGAGTATAGACAGTCATTGCAGGCATTTTCATGCAAACACTATCTTTTCAGAGAAAATGCTGTGTTTACATTAAAGTGTAGAGACACCTCCAGTGGCCACTCCTCAGATCCCCATAGAGATGCATTCATTGGCCTTGCTGGCATTTGCCCTCCTCTCCTCTCCTCACCCCCCCCACACACACACCATCTTGGAGATCTCGGCCAGTCCAAAGTTTTTCCTATCAATTCTGATGATGTCAGTTGAAGAGGCGGATCAGGAGCAGGGCCGGTGCAGGCTGGAAAAAAGGTTTTTACCCTTTCTACAGGGGCTAAAGGTTTCAAGCCACCTAAATCGTGATTTTAACACTATAGGGCCAGGAATACGTTTGTGTTCCTGACCCTATAGTGTTCCCTTAAATATTTAATTTTCAAGACAGGGTTATTCACTAAAGACCAAATGGTCTCATACCGTATAGGGCAAAACCACTTTTTGCAGTTAGGGACCTTTCAAATTTCAAAATCCCTACATTGTTCAAAGTATTTGTGGAGAATGCTTAGAATAAGTCTGAATTTAGTCTTGATTTACGTCTGATCATAAATCCATTCTCTGATGGTAAAATAGGGTCCCAGCTGCTTAATATCAGGGCCTTGATTTTAAAAATCAAAGCCATTTGCCGACTTGCTGCACTAACAGCAAGCAGGCAAATAAGTAAAACAACCCTTAAGAGTTAATCATGTGTTGTCTGGCACTTGCAGATTAGCTGCCATATTTAAAAAGTTAACAGAAAAACAACAACCTTTGGGGTCATGACCCCTCATATTACTATAAAAGGGGTTTCAAACCTCCCTTATGGTCCCACCTGCCGTGCCGC